TCCACTCGCCTCAGCCTCCCAAAGTGCTGGGATTACAGGCTGAGCCACCGAGCCCGGCAGGCCCTAATTTCTTGATCTTAATGGGGCCCCTTTTAGAAGCAGGGAACAGGTTCTTCTGGGATGGAGGGGAGGAAAAAAGGGAGAACAGTGCCTAGAATCAAGATGCCCCCCACCCCCCATGACACCAGAGGACCCACCACTGCCCTAGTTCCCTCCCCAGACTCTACTCCCAGTCCAGCAGGCCTGAGCCTCCTGGCTCCCTCCCTCCCCTGGCATCTCCCCCTGGGACACTAGGCTCAGTTGCCCTAGACACCTTGGCCCTGGCAGGAGGAAGGAAGACAGCCAGGAGAGGGCAGAGAAACCTGACTGGGGAGCCTGGAAAACGGATTTTCCCAGCTGGGTCCAGGCGCGAGTGAGTGCCCCCTCCACAGTTGCCCTCCTGTGCAACATGGGAACCAGGATTCCCGCCTGTCCACCATCAGTTACCAGATGTTCACCAGACGCCTCTAAATGCCAGAAGAGGGCTGGCTTTAAACCGGGGCAGGGAGGCGGTGCAAACTTGGGTAGGGCAGCTCCTGCTGAAGGTCACTGTCACCAGGAGTGTGTTGTCACTGCCTGTGTCCCTCAGTCTCTGGCTCGAGACCCAGTCCTGCCTCTGCCTGTCCTGGCTGGGTTGGAGTACCCACTTGCTGAAAGTCCTTGTTCCGATCAGTTCCCCATCCCAGAGCCTCTGTTTCCTTTATACGAGTTCGGGGCTGGGGGAGCCCTAGCTCCTTGCCCGGGTACCTCCTCTGTGCAGCCAGATGGGAGGTGGAGGCTAGGGTCCAGGCCTGGGCCAGTGGCTCTTGGCGACTTGGAGGCCCCCGGCCCCTGCTGGCCCCTAGTGGACTTGGTTGTCCTGGACAACCTTGCAGAAGCTGGCAGCATGAACCAGGTGAGGTTTACCTTCCCAGGCCTCTCTCAGAGTACCCCACTAGCACGGGTGTGTCACTTATGCAGTTGAACAGGGCGCTGTGCTCAGAAGGGTCCTGCACCTTGCTTAACGCTCTGATGTTCCCATCTTGAAATTCTTAGCGATTTTTTGACAAGGGGCCTGTGCTTCCATTTTGCACTGGACCCTGCAAATTAGGTAGGGTTCTGCGTCCCACTCTCCTTTGACTTCCAGCACAAAGTTGTTAGCCCTGGCTGGAATTCTGCTACTGCCCATGCCTGTGTCCCTGTGACAGGGAGGGCCGGATAAGTCACACTGAACTCTTGCATTGGAGTGGGAAGAGGGAGAGTGCGTGGGTTGGGAAAAACAGGCAGCCCAAGACTTCTGGCATCAGAGATTACCAAGGGAGGGCTTCTGGGCCAGGGGTGGTAGGTTTGCTGGGGATGGGGGAGGCACTTGCTGCAGACAAGATCTGATAAGCAGGAAAGTCTGCTGGCTCCTGCCAGCCCCTGGAGGTTCACAGCTAAGGCTGCTGCTTTCCCAAGTAGCCAATCAGGCACCAGGACACTGAAAGCTGCCCCGTGATTGGCTCCCCCTGCATCTTATTAGAGGCAATACCTCTGCCCTGTTTTATAGATGGGGATGCTCCACCCCACCCCACAGAGCCTACTGATTTATATCCTAGGCCCAATACTGGAGCTGGCAGGGCTCTAGGAGATCTTTGCGTCAAACCCCCCATTTCACAGATGGGGAGACTGATGCCTGCTCTACGGGTGGTCCCAGCTGGGTGTTGGGGATACAAGTACATGAAAAAGAAGACCCTACCTTTGGGGGGTCTGTGACATGGGGTCTCCTCCTTATACTCCACCTGCTTATAACCATGCGCAAATGGAAGCCCAGATGAATTTTTAAAAGTGAAGGTTGGCCGGGTATGGTGGCTCATGCCTGTAATCCCAACACTTTGGGAAACTGAGACTGGAGGATCACTTGAACCCAGGAGTTCAAGACCTACCTGGGCAACATAGCCAGACCTCGTCGCTACAAAAAATTGAAAAATAAGCTGGGTATGGTGGCATGTGCCTGCAGTTCCAGCTACTCAGGAGGCTGAGGCAGCAGGATCACCTGAGCTGAGGAGGTTGAGGCTGCAGTGAGCCATGATCGTGCCACTGCACTCCAGCCTGGTTGACAGAGTGAGTCCTTGACTTAAAAAAAAAAAGTGAAGGTTAGATAGAGCAACATGCTGGTCTGAACCCCTCCTGGGGTCCCCATTTCCACTTAAAACCCATTCCGGCATTCAAAGCCCTGAATGATAACCCCTACTTTACTAGTCTCACTTATCACGCACCCCCTTACCACTCTGCTCCAGCTATGCAGGCTGCCTCGATGGTCCCCGATGTCAGCCTCCCCAGACCTTTTCACTCCCACTTTTCATACTCAGAGCAATCCCCCTTCCCATCCGGTTCCCTGCCCAGGGGTCACTCCCCCAACCCCCTGCCTGAAGCAGCCCCCTGCCTCCCCCCAGCCCCTACCCCCACCACTGTAGCCCTTACCATCTGATTTCATCCTCCAGCTAAGTTGCTGCTGCCCCCTGTGGGGATGGAAGCCCCTGAGGAAAGAGCTCTCATCTGTGTAGCTCATGCTGTTGCACCAGTTTCTAGAACAGAGCTGAGCACGTTTTGACCGGATCCCCTGGTGGGCAGGGCTCAGCTCTGTAAGGAAGAACACACGTTGTGTATTTAGGTGGAATCGTCTAGGACTTCGTTTGTTATCCCCTCTGCAGTAAACTGGCAAATCCAGCCTGGGATTCCCGTGGACAAGGTGACGTGCAGCCTCCCTGGCGGGATGTGCCAGGGCCCTGCCATGCTTTCCTGCCTCTCAGCTGCCCCTGTCCCTGTACTCCTACCACCGGGTGTGTCAGTCCCTCATGGAGCCCAACTGGCTCAAGCCTCTTGTCTTTGCCTGGGTACCTCCTTCTGTTCCATATTCTATTCCCTACTGTCCCCTGCCACCACTTGTGACACCTCCCTGTCTTCCCTCATCTCCAGCCACCCTCACTGTACACCAGTGACATGCCTGAGCCTCCTCCCTGCTGGCTGGGCAGTTGCCCTCTGACCCCTCCCTAAGACTTCTGCCCCCAGCAACCAAGAGAGGCCTTTTCTAAATGCAGATCTGACCTTATCTGATTTCATCACCTCTGCCTGGTTAGGCCCCTGGGTGGCTCTCTATTGCCCTGAGGACCAAGATTTGAATCTTACTGTGCTCCACACCCCCCTTGACCTGGTCAGTCCTTCCTCATCCACTCACACATGTCCTGTGTCCCCTGGGCTCCTTGAAGGCACCGTCCTCCTCCTTGGGGGTGGACTTGGGTGGTGGCCAGGTGACTCATGGGTGCCGAGCCCCTTCTTACCTGCCCCATTCCCCTCCTCCACCCTCTCCAGGGCCAGGGCTGGGCCTGCAGCAAGAGGCCAGGCGGGCCTCAGAGCATCCAGGCTTTGGGTGGAAACACCATCTCCAACTCTGTCTCTGGCTGTGAACTAGTGGTGGTGCTCACCCTTCTGGCTTTTCTGGATTGGGTAACAGGATCTAGCCCTTGCTCTGCCACCATCTGGGAGATCTTGGGCCAGTCCTTTCCTGTTTGTAAGCCTCAGTTTCTTCATCTGGAGAATGGGAGTGAAGGTTGGCTGGTGGTCTGTAAGGTCCTGACTGCCTGCGGGCCTCTTATGTAAGGTGGACCCCAGGGATGTCACTCATTGCATCCCTTTAGCTGTCCTTTGGGCTCCGGTGGTTGGTCCTCTGGCCACCACAGGGGAGGGGCCCAGGGGCAAGGGGCATTTGGGATCATGGAAAATGAACTCGTTCTCAGCATCTCCCAGTGGGGTGACTTGAACATCCTCTGGCTCTTTGAATCCTCCTAATGGCCCCAAGAGATGGGTTATTTGCTCCCCACAATAAAGAGATTAAGGTTCGGAGAAGCTAGGTCACCCATCCAGGGTCACACAACCAAGATGACATGGTTTCGTAAAGAAATCTTTGTTCTTTCCCATCCCCAGGCAGCTGTTCCCAGACAGACCTACCCCCTGAAGTTCATTTGTTCAGTCACTAAGGGGTCACGGAAGGAGCAGGGCTGGAATCCTGGAAAAGTGGTTGACCCTTGAGGCCTCAGTTTCCTGGCTGACCTTGGAAAAGTTATTGACCTCTTTGGGCCTCAGCTTCCTCATCTGCCGAATGGAAGTGACTTATGGTCCTTCGCCTCGGGTCACATGGAACTTCCAGGTCGAATACACAAGACCCCCAGTCCCCTGCCTGGCCTCAGAGAAGGTGGCTGGTGGCGTTCAAGGCCCCAGCTCTCTCCTCCCTGCCATGCCCTGAGAGCTGGGGGGTGACCCAGAGGAGACAGACGTCTTTGGCTCAGGGAATCTTGGGAGGCTTCTTGGCACTAGAATTTCAGGCTGGATGTTGGAGGAGAGAGTGTCCCAGAGGTGAGTCCCTCAAGGAGTGCTGATTGTAGTGGGGTAGCGGCTCTGGCCCGGTGGGGGGTCAGAAACGGCTTCCTGGAGAAGGTGACATTGAGCAGGAACCAGAGGATGAGTAAGAGTCAGCCTGGCAGTGGGGAGGGAGAGGAGGGAGGACGGAGAGTGGGAAGTCAGGAGATAGCATTTGCAGGCTCTTCCCAGGCTGGAGGGAACAGGGCCGTTTGAGGAACTGAGGGGTGATCAGGAATACTCTCCAGGCCTGAACAAGCGCAGCGTGTTAAAAGTGTCAGGCTGCCAACTTTTTGGGGGGAAGTGGGGATTTCTTCTCAGGAGAGTTGTCTTTGGTGTTACTCTGAAGCATTAGGGCTTCTGCAGCTGACACTGGGTAGTTCTGTGAGGGCTTCACGGAGGAGGTGACATCCAAGGGTTTCAGTTCAGTTTGGTTTAATTCCATCCCACCTGCGTTCACTGGATGGCAGGCCTGAGGCTGTGGAGAGTAAGCCGGCACGGGCCTGGCCCTCATGGAGCTAAAGCCCTTGAGGAGACAGAGACAAGCTAAGTGCCTGCTCATGGTCAAGGCTAAGCAGTTGCCTGGGAGAGGCAACGATGAGCTCTTTCCAGGGGAGGGCCAGGAAAGCTTCCTCACAGAGGGGGAATTGCCCGGGCAGGGGTTTTTGTCTTTGTTTTTGTTTTTCTTTGAAGCCAGGGGCTCACTCTGTCACCCGGGCTGGAGTGCTATGGCATAGTCACAGCTCAGCACAACCTCAACCTCCTGGGCTCAGGAGATCCTTCCTCCTTAGCCTCCCAAGTAGCTAAAACTACAGATGGCGCCACCATGCCCCGCTAATTTTTAAAAATTTTTTTTGTGGAGATGAGGTCTTGCTATGTTGCCTAGGCTGGCTATGAACTCCTGGACTCAAGTGACCCTCCCGCCTTGGCCTCCCCCAAGTGCTGGGATTACAGATGTGAGCCGCCGTGACTGGCCTGGGCACGGTTTTGAAGCCTGGAGAGAAGGCAAGTGTGAGAAGGGCATGGAAGGGCATTCCAGAGGGAGGCACAGACAGGAGCCAGGTTTGGAGGGTTGGGTATTCTAGAGGGTGTGGGGAGCCACAGGGTCTGGATGGGTGGGAATCCTTGGACAACTGAGGGAAGGCATTGTGGACAGAGGCCTTGTGTGGACAAACGCAGGGAGGCTGTGCTCCTTGGTTCCCCAGAGCCTGACACACGCCTGATGTGTATGTGCCCAAAAAATACACCTGGAAGCTCGTGTGATTGCCCTGGAGGACTCTCTGGTGCCAGCGGGGCAAGTTAGTTGACATCGGTGCCCCACCCTGCCCCCGAGCAGATGTCTTTCAAGCATGGGTGTGGTCCTTCCAAGGGCCTTGCTTGACGGCTTTTGTGTGCACTGGAGGGTGAGCTGGAAGGCAGCAGCCCTCTCTGCCCACAGGGGTGGGAGCAGTGGATACATGCCCTGGTTTCCTGCCACCTCTGGGCATGCCCTGACAGCCCACGCAGTCTCTGGGGTGACCTGCAGGATGGAGGGCTGGCAGTCCAAGCAGTGACAGCTTTATAGTCCTGCATCGGCGGCTGTCTCTCCCCTAACTCCTCCCCAACCCTCCCACAGTGTCCTGGATTCACCACCTGACCAAACCTCTTACACAGCCTTCTTGTCTTAGAGTTTGCTTCTGGGGGACCCAGCCTAAGATGGAGATGAACACTGATTCAACAATACTGGGTGACAACCTAGGTGACCAGCATAGGAGAAGGACAGAGTTTATTCTGATCAAGACTTGGAGAGAAAGTGACACAGCCTCAAACGATCCTCTTTCCAAAGGATAGCCGCAGGCAGAAAAGTGATCAGTAGACAGTATTTGTGTCTTTCTGTTTCCTTGCACTAAACATTTTAAATATAATGAATCAACAATGAAAAAAAAATAAAGAAACCCAACGGCATAGTGCTGTGTGACTGCAGGTCAGCTGCGGCCGCTCTCTGGGCCTGGGCCTCTGAATAGAACACTGTAGGGCTGGGGCGGAGTCTCGGGCTAGTATTGGAGCCTGATCTTTACTCTGTCTTGCCTGCTCCCCCCCAGATTTGACAACTACTCAGCCAACGTGATGGTGGACAGCAAGCCCGTGAACCTGGGGCTGTGGGACACCGCGGGCCAGGAGGACTATGACCGCCTCCGGCCACTCTCCTACCCGCAGACGGTGGGCTGCCACCCCCAACCCCTCCTGATGGCCTGGTCTTTGGGCTCTCTGTTCCCTCTGCTTCGAATGCCCTTCCAGCCTGTTGATCCAGGAATCCAATTCTTCTCTTAAGGCTCAGCCAAGGAGTCTGCCCCATCCCTCCCCAGGCAGAGCTGGGGCTCCCTCCGCCCTGCATTCATCCCTGCTCTCAGGTGCCTGTGTCCCCGCCCCTCTACCTCATGGGCCCTGGCACCCCCTGCTTCAGGTGGTGGGGCAGGTGGACCCTGCCCAGGGCCCCGAGAGGCAGCCCAAGGCAGTGAGCCTGTGAGATTGCTGGGGTAGGGGCAGGGGAGGCCTGCAGGCGGCTCTGTGGCTGGCTGTCCCTCCAGGTGGGCAGGAAGAAGGCCTGTATATGGATGCTAGAATCCCAGCTCCTCCCCTCACCTGGGTGCACCTCAGCACACCCTTTACCCTCTGCAAGCCTCATTTTCCCCCTCTGGGCTAGCGGCAGTGCCTCCCGCAGAGCGGCATGTAGGATGACCCACTAGCAGAGACCCTCAGTGAGGGTCAGGTGACAGCCGCAGCCTAGAGGTAGAGGTGGGCAGGGCCTCTGCTGTGAGGGGCCCAAGCTCCCAACGTCCCCAGGCCTCCTTTCCTCACGTGCCACCCTTGCCTGCTCTGTCTCCAGGATGTCTTCCTTATCTGCTTTTCCCTTGTCAGCCCAGCCTCCTATGAGAATGTCCGCGCCAAGGTGAGCTGGGCAGAGTGGGCCTCAGGGTGCGGGGGCAGGCGACCCCAAGGGGCGGAGGGAGAGGGGGAGGGAGGGA